TTTTTTATATCTTGAAACAAATAAGCAAACAAAAAAACATGACAACAGCACATAACTCCTGCCCTCCCTCCCCAATATGGGATTAGTGCCTGCGGGACTGGGCGCAGGCCGGCTTAGTGTGCGGGTGGAAATGCTGTGTGAACCTCTCCTGGTTTCAACAGTTGAAGTGACTCAGTCCACTTGGCTCAGGAGAAAGGCTGCTTATTTGTCAGCATCACTAGGGCATCACAGCATCGCGTGTGCTCCCTGGGAAAGCGGCCTGAGTACCAATAAGAGGTCACTGTGTTTAGCTGATGATTTAAAACATATATAATGGTCTTTTGCCAGAAAAAAAAAAGGTATGGGTTTCATTTGAGTGAAATTTAGTGTAAGATAGCTATGGATATTGAGAATTTGTGGAAGCCATTCGTGATAATAAAGCTTTTATTTGCTTTGGAGCAAATAATCCTTTGGTGTGATGTTTATTGTCTTTTGATTTTAGTTGTGGTTTAAGCCAAGGCAGAATGCTCTGCCCTAAATGCTTCTTCAGCGAGACAGACCCTGTCTCCTTTAAATTGCATTTGTCTGAAATGGACTCGGTCACATGCAATAAATTCTGGCATTTTAATGGAAACATTACAGCAAAAATAGTTAACAATCTGCTTTAATTTCAGAACCAATTTTCCCCTTCATACAGTAAGGCAGTATCTTGGTAAAATGTGCAAAACGCGTTGGCATTTAATTATGATGGCAATTTGTTCTGAAGCAAGGTTAACCGGGCTGTCAGTATTCTGGATAAAGGGGTTGGGGGCTTGGCAGAGGGGGAGGGTAGCAGTGGCTTGGTGTCTGGGTCCTGAATACCATGCAGACCACGGTGGAATCAGGAGCCCTGGCCTATTAGCTGATGAAGGTCCAAATCAGTGGGAGGCTGGGTGTTCCTGGGAGCACAGGAGCAGCCTGTGTGCACCAATGGGTCCGTCCCTGTGCCAGACTGAGAGACAAGGAAACCATCTGGGAATCATTTCTTCATGTCTCTCCGCTGGATCTAATCCATTCCCCAATTTATTCCTGCAACAACTATTTGAATCCCATTGCACAGGTGCTGGAGATACAGAGGTGAGCAAAAATAGGCAGGATTCCTGTCTTAGGGAGGTTATAGGCAAACTGAGGCCCAGTGCACAAAATTCATGCATGGATAGGGTCCCTAGGCCTGGCCGGTGATCAGGGCTGATCAGGTTCCCCACCTCCCTGCCTCCCACCTCCTCCTTCCCTTGCAACCCACATGCCACCACTGTGTGGTCTGTCCGCCCCCCCCCCCACCCCGCCTCCCTGACTCCTCCTTCCCTTGCTCCCTTAACACCCGCTGCTGCCGCTGGTCACCCTCCATGTTCTGTGCTGCCCCTTGGTGGTCAGCACACATCATAGTGAGCGATCAAACTCCCATTCTTCCGGTCGAACTCCCTAGGGGATGCTTTGCATATTATATATATATATATATATATATATATATATATATATATATATATATATATATATGGAAAAGACATAAATCAAAGGATGATGCACAGATAAGTACAAGGATAACTGAGCTAATGGCTTTGATGGAAGGTCCTTGGTGCCAGGTGACCGTGTTAGAGGGGCATTGGGTGTGGTATGGGCAGTGGTGGTAGTAGCATGGAAGGCCTTGCTGGGAAGCTTACTCTGCTGGATCTTGGCGGTGAGGGTGACATGGTGGGTATTGTCCCAGGTACAAGGACAAGTGCACAAAGACCCTGGAGGGAGTGTTGCATGCTAGGCCTGAGGAGCTCAAGGTGACTCAGTGTGACTGAAGAGCAGATAGCACAAGGCTCTCAAGTCTAGCATCAGTGGTTCGTGAAGCTGCCCTGGGCGCTGGTGTCTGGTAGACTCTTATGTGTTCCACCCACCAACCACATTGCTTCCAACACTCACTTCCCCACGTGATTGCTGCGAGTCCTGGGACCACTCAACTAGCCTCACTTAATTGCCTGATGCTTGAAATGGCAGGGTCCCAACTCCCACGGTACCATTCACCTCCAGGATATCTGATCCCTCAGAGTGCTGTGCTGGGCTGATCTGCCTGCATATCCTGGATCACTGAGGACTTTGTTAAGTAATGTTCATTGCCATGGTCTCTGGTCTTTCTCAGGCAGGAAGAGTTCATTCCCTTATCACTACCACTTTTTGCCTGGAGAAAATCTTGAGCCTGTTTCTGAAAACCCACTGCAGCCCCATGAAGACATCTTCCGTCCTCTTTCTCAATGTACTTCAATCAACAAATGAGTGAATACACACTTATTGAGCACCTGTTGTGTGCCCACCCTGTGCTCAGGGCTTTCACCCACTTAGTTTTTAGACACCCTTGTAAGGCAAAGGTTATGTTCAGTTTTATAAGAATCAGAGGCTCACTGAGGGCTGAGGTTAACTTTCCCAAGGTCACCTGGCAAAAAGAAGGTCGCAAAATATCAAACCCATGTGTCAAGACTTCTGACTCTATGTCCAGTCCCCCACCCCACAAATTGGTAAATAAGCTGGTTTTAGATGGCTCGGGGTCGGGGGGGGGGGGGGGCAGGATGAGGGAATTTAATAAGATGATGGGAAAGTTTTTTTCTTTTCAATTCTCTCTCGAACATCCCGATCAATCAAGTAGAAAACATATTTGGTATCCAAATGGCTTTAGCACATGTTGAAGTTTTGCTAACTCCCTTAACAAAGAGAGCTGGTCTCAGGCTTGGCACTTTCAACACTCAACAGTCTCTAACAAGAATTTAATAAAATTATTTTTATTTCATCCTCTATATTTGGAACATAATTGGTTTTCTTTGTGGTGGTATTATAAAGTTGCCTTTTAAGGAAGAAAATTATAGGAAAAATAAAGAAAAATATTGACTAAATTATAGGTCTGGTATGTGGATATAATAATGATAAAAACATGAATGTGTGTTCATCCAAATGAGCTGGGTAGAATCCTGTTCATTCACTCTGCCTCCCTTGCTCCCAGGACACATGGTGTGTCACCATTATGGCCCTAAATTCTGAATCTGTTCTTTGTTGTCCTGGAAAACATATAGAAGAGGTTGTAACAAAAACTATCCCTATCATTAGGACCATTGAGGTATCAATCTTCTTTTTAAAAAATATATTTTTATTGATTTCAGAGAGGAAGGGAGAGGGAGAGAGAGATAGAAACATCCATGATAAGAGAATCATTGATTGGCTGCCTCCTACACACCCCACACCAGGGACCAAGCCCACAACAGGGGCATGTGCCCTGATTGGCAATCGAACTATGACTTTCTGGTTCATGGATCAATGCTCAGCCACTGAGCCACGCCGGCTGGGCAGGGATCATCCTTCTTAAGTTTAAATCAACCCAAGCTAGTAATGGAGTCTTAAAACCTAGGAAAAATATGTAAGTTTATTGCAAAAGATAATATCCCATTTAAAATAGTTTAGAAATTTACAAAAACTTACATTATACATTGTTTTTAAGAAGGGGCTCTACAGATGAGCTGGTATTAAGTTCCAAGTATAGCGGGTACACATTTTTTCTTAACTACAGAGAAAGCAGCTACATAAACTCCAGCAATTTAAGTTGATGTATCAGTCTTTTCCCCTTCAATTTTATAAAAGTAATCTTGGCTAAATTAATCTCTCTCTGTAAAACCATATAACCTCAAGTACAGCATTTTTGCAGATTATCATGGTAGATGTTACATAATATTTTACAAAGACGTGATTTTCACATGAGTAGATAGGTATAGAGTTTTGGTCTATGAATATGTGTGGGTGTTGTTGTTTTTTTTAAAAAAAAACACAGAGATGATCATTTTTATTAGCAGGAAGGTGTTTACTGAATCCCTTTCCCTCATAATGATTTTAAATGTTCAATTTCCAGAAGAGACCTCCTTCCCAGTTTCAGGTTGGTGGCCCCAGCAATGCTGTGTTGTGCTTTGGTATAGATTCATTGCAGTCCCATTTGGTTGTATTTTTAGAAATGTCAACATTTCCTACCCCAATTTCATTTTTCAGTTGAGGGTTTATCTGATATATCCAACTAAACATAAGTATATAAGAACGTGCGCTTTTTAATTACCCAAGGTTTGGGTTCTACTCTGAGAGAATGGCCTTAAACACCTCTTCACCAATCTGGGCTAAGTCTGGCAAATGAGCCAGCTCAGCTCTGGGTCATTCTGCTCATTTGATGTCGGACCATGCACAGAGCTTATAAAGTGGATCGAGTAGGTGTTGATATCTCCATTTCAGAATGGACAAACAGGCCCTGACATTTTAAGCAGTTTGTTAAAGGATAGTGGACTAGGCTATTCTGTTGCCTGGGTCTCTTAATTCCCGAAACAGGATTATTTTCATGCTGCCCAAGATTATAAATTAATTTGAAAATTAGTGTAAGCAAAGCGAATTAAGATGGAAGCTCTACTACAAGATAAAATTACATAAGAGATCCCACATGATTTTGCTTTATTGGATTATCCTCGATGCTGTTCTTTTCCATTGTTGGGGCCAACTGAGAGTTGATTGTGTGGATACAGAAAGATCTGTGGCTTTCAGCCAGTGGGAGCATATCTTATTGAAATGTGGCTTCCTCCATATGACAAGTGTATTTATCTTAATTCCCACTTAACATTATGGATGCCGGTCTCACTTTCTGGGTTTAAACATTACACTAGAAACAGAACAAGAACATCTTGAATGACATTCCAAGACTTAAATAGTGCAAGCTGAGGTTCCTTGCCAAATTTTCCCCTCACTCTCACTGAAAGAGCTTGCACACTGCAGCGCTGTGGCAGGAGCAGGTGCAGCTGTCGGAGTGGTTTGCTTCATTCGTCTCAATTTGCAGTGGGGGTACATTCATTCCAGACTCTAACTCAGACACCTGATCTTGAGCAAAGGGGGGTATGAAATGCCTTCTTCATTGAGTGCCATGTTGAGCTTTAGGATCCCTTTTCTAAGCAGCATCCACCTGAGCACAGGCTGGTAGAGAATTTAACGAGAACGCACCCCTCATCCCCCAAAGTATGGAGAAGTTACTTAATTATATTATGTTAGTACTTTGTTCAGCCATGCAAGTTTGACTGGACCCACATGTATAGGGGTCTTGTCAAAAGAAGGAGCCAGACTTTAAAAGAATTCAGACTTTGGGAAGGGAAGGTCTTTAATACTAAAATGGAAAAAAATATATATCCCTCCTCCTGCTGCTTCTTCAATCAGGTGATCATTGAAGGGATCACCAGGAAGGGAGATTATGTAGATTAATATACTTAACAACCTATCTACAAAGCTATTGCAGGGATGAATGGGTGAGAACCAGTGTTGTGTTTTATCCTAGTCTTATTTATGTTACTGGTCAGATGAAACAGACAGGTTGCTGGATCTCATGATCTTACTAAATGTTGCAGGGAAATCAACTGTGAAATCTTAAAGTTCAAACCAAATCCCACCTATTTTCCAGGTGGTCTCATGCCCCAGGCTGAGAAGCATGGTGGCCTAAGGTGGGCCCTGGAGCTACAACCGCAGGAGAGACACCAAGTTCCTTACCCCCAGCAGTGACCTTACCCTGCCACAGACTGGAAGACCCCGCAGCATGAGATGACAGATTCTTAATTTGGGGTCAAGGGGCTATTTTAAAATGAAAATGACCCAGCCCACCAGGTGCTCTTGCATTTTTGCCCTGCGCATATCTGTCATGCTATGTATGCCAACATCTTAGAAAACAGCCAGTGTATGTAACTGATCCTTCCTGGTGTATCAGTTTCTAGCTCTCCTCTAACTTCCTGCTCTACATAACATTGCTTTTTCTTTTTCTTTTTCGGATGACAAACCAAGGATGAGAAGGAAGTGCTTAGCATCATAGAAGTGTTGGAGAGTCAATGGGGACTTTGTTCAGGGTGGGAACCTAGACTAGCAAACCAGGATTGTGGCCTAGTCGTGCGTGATGGGGAACTAGGCAAGTGGTCACTCTAAGGTCCGTGAAGCCCTCAGCAAACAGTGGCACTCATTCAGGTGAGGTTGGTGGTCAGGGGTCCCGCAGCAGCTAAACCAGCCGCGAGTCTTTCCGGTTTCGCAGGTTGAGTGGCTCTCGGTCTGGGTCCTTTGCTAAGAAGCAGAGAAGACCTGAGGGCAGTGGTCCCCATCTCAGGGAGGTCTTGGGGGAAGGCAGAGTGCATGGTCCCAACAAACTCAGATCCACCAGAAGCATTTCTTCTTCACCTTCTTGGTTTTCCGCCTTAAGTCCTGTTTCTCAGGAACAGGGGGTTCTGCTGTGGACTTTGGTGGGGGACATGGCTCCTCAACTGGTTCTGCTTCCTCCAGACTCTGTAGAACTTCATGGAACCTGCCTTCCTGCTGCCGAAAATCATATTCTACACTGAAAAACACAGGACAAGGAAGGACAGTAAATTCGAGTCAGCACATATGGCTTTAGCATCACAAAGGGGCCAACTGATATGGAAGAGCATGGCCTTTGACATCTGGTCCCAGATGCTTAGGTACCTACTGGCTATATGACCTTGGAAAAATTGTGCCATCTCCCATCCATCCATCCATCCATCCACTCATCCATCCATCCACTCATCCATCCATCCATCCAACCATCCAACCATCCATCCTTCTCATAGCTCAACACTGTGCTCAGTTATGGTACACAACAAGACAGACAGACAGACATGGACACTGCTCTTGTAGATCTTACTTCTCAGTGTGTGAGACAGATGGTTAAAGTAACAATTGCTTTTAAAATATGCCTTGTATCTATCTCAACTATGCCTACTTTCCTGCTCTTTATCCATACACTTCTACCAAATGATAAAAGCATACACAAAAACCAGCTATCTTTTTCTCCTTATATGTGACATTTCTCTGCCTTCATAATTTGAATAAACAATGGCAACAACAAACCACCTGAGTTTGTCAAGACTCACAGCAGTGTCCTAATACCAATTGGAAAAAAGAATGCTGTGGGTGAATCCAGAATGTGGACAGAACTGGCAGGCCCGGGGAGAGAAGAGCCAGGAGACAGAATGAAACTGTCTCATCATCACAATTTAAAGAGCAGCCCAATATAGAGGATAGAACAAAAGCTTTGAGTGGAACATTCCCAAGTTTGAACAAGGTTATACCACTCACCGGCTAGGTGACCTTGGACAAGTTGCTTCTCTTTCAGAGACTCAGTTGAAAGTGGGGGTTATAAAGCTCTCTCACTGGACAGTTTACAGATGGGACACAATGACAGGTGAAATGTCTTCACGTAGGATATGGTCTCTGCCCACTCCACTCTTCACTAAGTCTTTTGTCTTCCTATCTTATGGGCTGAATGTCTCTTCACTCATACCTGAAGCTCTTAAGTAATTGTATACCTTGCCAGCATTATCCCTCTTCACCCCTCCCCTCCATGTACATTCAGGAAAGAATGCATTCTATGTTTCTATGGAAACACCACAGGATTGCCTTATAATCATTGGGACTTAGAGCTCTCCCCGCACCCCTCTTGCAACTGCCCCCACTGATTTTGACAATTGGAAGGAGATTGAAAGTAACTTCTTTTCAAGGCCAGGCAAAAAGCAGAGCATAGAGAAGTGTGTGAACTTAGGAAAGAAATTGATTAATGTGTTTTTTTTTTAGGCCAAAGCAGTTTATTAACATAAAGGAAAATTGTCACTTTCCTTCTTATTCTTGACAAACTATTCTTTAGTTTGGATGAATGTATAGGGTCTCATTTCTTTTCATCTTGTCACTGGATGGAGGAAAGGAGATACCCTTCAACTTCCTTTTTAGCCAACTCGCACCATATTCAGCGACCTCTTGATAAGGGGAATAAATTGTGTACATGGTGAGAAGTCAAGGAGAGGGTTGTTGTTTGTAGATTCTAGGGAATGCCATCTGCCTTGGGTTTGGTATCAAGGTGAATACCAGTGACTTTTTAAACCTTGCTCCCCCTTCTCTTCTTCTCTTAATTTCCCTCCCAGCCCACCCTTACCATCTCCTGCCACCCATATTCTGTACAGATGAAGAGGAGTGCCGAGGGCTTAGTTTGCAGAGCTCTGGCTCACAGTGGGGGCCAAGAAATTGCAACAGTACAGAATTCAGGCCTGGGTCCATTGAGGTCGTGTGGAGCAGTCGAGGCCAGTGCGGTTGGTCCAGTGAGGAATATCTGACACCTGGTTCAGGCTGCCCCAGTCATTGTCTAAGGGAGCCTTGGGGCCCTGCCCATGTAATCTGTCTGGGTGTGGTACTGCATTGCTTTGGAAAGTGAGCTGTCTGTCTGCCAGGAATGGGAGAGAGCTTTCAGGTCTCCCTTGGGAGAGCACCTCACTAATCCAGCTCACAGATCAATGCCCCAGCCACCAGGGGAGGTGAAAAGCACAGGGATGTTTTTCTAGGAAATCGGAAGCAGTGGGAAGCCTAAGTCATAACTTGTTGGGAAGAAGAAATAGTGAGAAGCAAACAGTAGATGGATACATTAGTACATGAGCAGACAATAGAGCCTGGCAGCAGCTTGGCTGGGCAAATCGAAGTTAGGTATGCCAGAAAGAGATGCAAGCTTATATAGAAACAGATGAATAATAGAAACCCCTTACTTTTGAGTAGCACTTGCAAATTGCAGACCCTTCAGATCTGTGTTTTCATTTTATCCTCATGGTAGCCCAGGAAAATGGGAAAATTGTCCCCATTGACAAACAAGTTGGCATGGAGAAGTCACACTGTAAGTTATGAACAGAATATAAGCCTGATTTCCAGACTCTTAGTCCTTTGTTTTTCCTAAAGAGCAATGAGATGTTTTAGCCCAGGGCCTGGCTACTACCCAGGGACTTAATCTAAGAAGAAGAAATAACAGAAGAGAACCTGGACCATGTTAGGTGAGGATGCATGGCAATTCAAATTAATAATAATAAAAAGAAGGAGATGAAGGAGGGGGAAGAGGGATGGTGAAAGGAAAAGGAGGAGAAGAAAGAGAGTGAGGAGGAGGAGGAGGAGGTAGAGGAAGAGGAGGACTGTCATCTGTGCAGTAAAATCTATATTGTAGACTCTGCACTGCAAGTTTAGTGATGCCCACATGCCTCATGTAATTCTCATGGCCCCCTTAGATAGATACTATCTTCGCTCCATAAATGAGGGAACCGAGGCAAGGGCGGGTTACGGCCACACACTAGTAAACGACAGAGCCAGGATTTGAACCGACACTGACCCTGAAGCTGGTGCACTAAAACAGACTGGACTGAGATCCTGGCCATCAAATGTGTGTGGGTGGGGATGCCGAGGTGGTGGTGACCAAGGCCTGGTGCATGACCGCCCAGTCCCCTGTGGAACCAGCCCACCCTGCAATGGTGTTTCCAGATTGCAGGGCAATGCTGGTGGGAAGCTGCGTAGCCAGAGAAGATGGGCACCCCCTTAGCAGGCAGCAAACTCAAAGTAATACGTGGGCTCAGCCGTTGTCTTTGTCTTTGGTGTAGTTGGCTGCTGAGGGCTGCAGGGGGCCCTGGCCTTTCTTTCTCAGCAGGGGGGCAGGGCTGGTCTTTTATTAAAGAGAAAGGGACAACCCCCTGCCACACACCACACACTCCACACAGGTTGGCTGAGAAACTAATGGTCCACGACACCTCCCTGAAGGTGGAGCATCCTCCAGGTCCCTCTCTACCTCCTCCCTCTGCGAGGCTTTCTGTAACTCCTGGCACACAGAGCTGGTGACCACAGGCTTAGGGACCTCCCACAAGTTTCTTCTCTAAAGAATGAGCCAGCGGCATCAGTGAGCTCAGTGAGGGCAGTTTGGTTCCTATCTCCTTGGATAATCAAGTCACTTTCTTTGGGGAAGGATCCCAGCCTTGGAACATAGGAGCTTTAGTTAGTCTCACTGCCTCTCCTCACCTCCACTCCCCGCCCCCATTCCGAAACTTTGTCCTAATGACCAGTTTGCTTGTTATTTATAGGGTGTAATTTTAAGCTTCACAACTTGCAGCCATTTCAAGTTGGCAAGGGCACCCCTTCCCTTAGGGCAGTGGTCGGCAAACAGCGGCTTGCGAGACACATGCGGCTCTTTGGCCCCTTAAGTGTGGCTCTTCCACAAAATACCAGCTTCTGCGCATGGGCCATGAAGTTTCAATCGCACTGTATGTGCGCGCCCGCACGTGGTATTTTGTGGAAGAGCCCGCACTCAAGGGGCCAAAGAGCCGCATGTGGCTCGCGAGCCGCAGTTTGCCAACCACGGCCCTAGGGCATGTGTCTGCTGAAGAGTCCTCAGGGAGTCGCAGGTTCTCCCCTGGGCACTTGGACACGAGCTGCAAAAATCATCATGCTGATCGCTAATTGAGAGAACCCTGCGCTCTGGGTTCTGTGCCTGTGGGACGAGGAGGTCTTCCCACTAAGCCCTCAGCAAGGACAGGTTCGCTCAGAGAACTTGAGCACATATATTCAGTGATTATGCCAGGTCCCAGGTAAGAGGGGAAGGGACAGGAAAATCTCCCGAAAGCAGGAGCTGTTTCAGCCCCAGCTCTGTTGGATCTTGGGCAAATCACAGAGCCTCTCTGAGTCTTCATTTCCTCATCTGTAAAATGGGACTAATAGCCATACTCGTACATTAGGGTTGTTGGGAGTCTGAGAGGAGATGCTGTGTGTACTGTGTTTAGCAAACTGCCTGGCTCAGTGCCTGGTAGGACAAGTGGTAATGATTGTTACATTCACTTGACAGAGAAATAAAGATTAGGTCATTCTGTGGTCAACCAGGGCCTCTGTGCCAGCAGCCATCGTTTGTTATTCCTGGGAAATTCTCAGCTTGCTTGATTTTATATTTATGGCATGTTTCAGCCTCTTTAGCTATTAATGCATTAAAATAGGTTTCATTTTTATTGCAGATAAATTGCTGATGCTGTAAATCCTCCTCCTTTCCCCTTACACTTTGGGGAGAAAGAAGGGATAATGTGCTGCTGAGAGAAACAGGGACCAGAGGCAAATATCTTGGGGATCAACCATTTGGGGCTCAGAGAAATTTCCACATGTACCCCAGACTTTATGCCTGTTCTCTAAAGAGAGGGCTTGAGCTATGTCTGGTGGTGGTTATGTAGGGAGGCTGGTTGGTATTGCTATGATGTGCAAGGTCCAGCCTTTGAAGCGAATGTTGCTCAGCCCATGTTGAAATGTGATGAGAACGGCAAATGCGTCTGTGATTACTAGAAAGAACAGATAAACTGTGTGCTTTGTGGGTGTTTTTCACTGGGACTTCCATTTTTGGCCAAAATGAGGACTGTGACTGGAAGACCCCAGCTCTTGCAGTCACCGGGCTCCATGCTGGGAGAGAATCCTAAGCAGACCAAAGGAAAATACTACATAATTGAAGTGGAAAGTTGGTTGCTAAACCTACAGGCCTGGGTGCATATTACATTTCTAGTGAAATACCTTGTTCTCTGGTTAACTAATAAATAGCTTTAAGTGGCAAGCAAGGACCTTTCCACCTCTCCCTTCATCCATTAAAAATGCTAAGTTTGCAGCATACTCTTTATTTCCATTTCCTAAGTAACATGTTTGCATGGTAGATGAAATTTTTTTTCTGAGAAAGGCTTTCTATTCTCTTCCCTTAAAACATTTGATGCATTTTACAACTTAAACCAAGAAGATTTCTTTCCTGGGAGCTATGTCCAGAATATAAATGCATGATTGGTATAGTCAAAGTCCTCCAAAGAGGCTCAGCAATGATTGTCAGAGTGAACTTGAAGATGAAGTACAGGGAGATATGGCTGGAGGAACAGGGAGTGGAGTGGGGGAAGGAGGAGGGATGTGGCTTGGGGAGAATCGTGCTTTTGAGAAGAGGAAAGGGAGCTGATTCCTCAGGGCTCCGTTTCTCAAACTTCAATCATTCGTTCACTATCTTCATGGTTTTTGTGAAACTATTGACTTAATGCTTTTCTTCCTTAAACCCATTTTCTATTTAAACTTCAAAACAGGTATATAACATAAGCAATACCACTTTTGAAAATGGAGACATGCATCATTTACAATGAATATTTAGGGGGACTTGTTTTAAAAGTTAAAAGCTTCAATAAAAAATTTTTAAATGATTACATTCTGGCTAGATACTATTGCTTGCCTATGGCTATGAGCCTGAGACCTACTCTGCCTGGGCAAAGAAGCGTGATCAATAAGCATAGGAAAGCTTTTGAAGACATTCTAGCACCAGCTTCGATTTTTCCCTCATGGTAATCACAAGGGTGGAAATAAACTTGGAAAGAGAACAGCCTTCTCACTCGGTAATCCAGTATTATTTTATCTTAGGTACCATAGGTAGCCTTCACCCAACCCGTTGAGAAACTTGTCTTAGAATCAATGCTAAGGATTGGTGAGGAGTGTGACTGGAGACTAAATAGCCTGGAAGCAGCTTTAACAGCAACATCTCCAGGGAGAAAGACCTGGCAGGCAGTGTGTCCTGAGCCCGTGTGCTTTACGTACAGTGACGTGCACTGGGCCCATTCGCCGACAGGAGAGGGCCCACAGCCGAACAAGGCCCGAGGATGAGCATTGCACATCACTTATTCATTAGATGTAAGATCTGACTTTACAGGACACAACACAGGGTTTTCAGTCGTTTGAAATGTTTTAAAAAAATGACAACTCTCATCTTCCCACTGTTACTATGATGGGAATGTTTGATCTCTTTGCTTTCATCAAATTAATTGCCTGTTCCTTCGCAATGGTTTAGATACAAGGGTACAGATACTGTCTGCGAGGATAGACTGGCTCTGAATGGTGATGAGCAGTGGATATACACAGTGGCTGCTCCTCTTGGAAAACTGGGAAGGGACGTGTGCATGAAGGTTTACTAACCTTTCCAGGGGTGTAGATTAATTTAGACTGTTTGCTGGGACTGTTTGAAGTAGCTACAGGAAAATGCAAACATTCTCAGACTTGTGGGAAGGTCATAGTGTAGCCAAATATTGCCACTTTTAATTGAGCACAGAACACCCAGATGTCGGGACTGAAGGGGACCAGAGGGAGCATCTAATTAAAAGGCCTCATTGTTCAGATGAGGTAACTCAGGGGTCAGAAATGATCTGCCGACGGCCAGGCCATGAAACTCACAGTAGCCTGGGCAACAGCCACTTATCCTTTCCATTTACATAAGCTAAATAAAAAGTCATCTTAAGGGAATAGAAAACACATCATCTGGCGGAGGAAGAAAAGAGACTATGCAAAATTTGAATGGAGATTAGTTAAATGTAATTATTGTTTATGATGAATAGATTTTTCTTTTGTCCTGCCTAGCTGTCTAGACATTTAATAATTTTTGTCTTCCTAGAGCTTAGAACATTTGCTTAAGATAGATGTTAAAAAAAGGAGCAAAAAGGTGGCAATGGATGAGCCTGCCTTATTCTTTCCAATGTCCCCTGCCTTTTCCAGGGGAGTTTTTGGAGGGGATGTTTCACACCGAGGTAAAGGGCATTTTCTGTGCTCGCTCCTGAAGATTCTGCCATTTGGTGAAAATATGTAGTTCTGAGGCTCCTGGGTGGAAGGAATTGACATTTCTATAAAAGAAATGCCCAAGGCCCTGCCTAAGTGTAGGGGCCTTCTGACTTCCAGGCCTCCCATCCAAAAATCTCGGGATTCTGCTGCAGAGAATGAGAAGAATTTCAAAGAAGACACAGGCAACCCAATTAGGCTGCCCTTTTCATCCGAGAGACACGTAATAGAGAAAGCAAAACCATACACTTTGGACAAAATTAGATGTCATCAACTCAAATGACTGCTTTTGACCGCATTTCCACCCGGCCACTGAAATGGGCTTCCCGCTCAGGGGACATTGTCGTTCTAGTAATAACGGTATTGAGGCCTTGGATTCGTACAGAGCTCTGCAGTCACAAAAGGCACTCACATATATTACCCCGTCTGCTCCTTGTGGCAACTCTGTACAGGGATAAGAGTCCCCACCCTCTGGATGAGGAAACTGAGCCCCAGACAGGTTAGCAGACAGCTGACTTGGGGGTTTTGACTGCTCTCACTATTATATGATGCTTTCCTTCTATTACTTATAAAAACCCACTTTATTGCAGCAGCCTTTTCCCGCTGCTGGAAGGAAATGGTGTGCTTGGAAATGCAAAGTGCTTAGCATGTTTTTTTACGGATAGTAAGTGCTTGGCCTGTGATAGCTGCTGTTGAGGAAGAGGCATTGAGGTGCAATAATCAGGACCACAGGGTTTGGGGTCAGAAAGGTCTGGACTTGAGTCCTGAGCCTGAGCCCTTCTCTGAAAATGCTGTCTGTGAGCCGGGTCCCGGGGCTTAACTTCCCCAAGGACATGAATGCCTACCTCATAAGGTGAAAGTTTGAAATGAGATGCCAATGTGCACGCAGAGCTCGGTAAGGTGCCAGCGCTCAGCGTTCAGTGAGTGTAGGATCATTATCAAAAGGATGTGCTCAGAGGCCTTATTGTAAGAAAGCAAAGCCACGCCTGCCTTAGAACCAGATGTTAACGTCTCACAGTTAAACACCTTGATATTTAAGTCTCGGGCATTGAAAGGCCTCCTGTCTTTGCCTCTCTCTTGACTTTCTGCCTCTAAGAGAGTTTACTAGAAGGTTCTGTGGACCCGTAGCTTCTGCACGCCACAGCCGGCCTCTGCTGTGGCCAGGTACCTGTATATGATGCACGCCGTGTTCTGGCAGGTACTGCAATTGTTGAGATCTTGGCCGGTTCGATAAAAGTTGCGCCTGCAAGATAGAGCATTTGCTGGGTAAATCTGTGGGCGAAAGTCCCAGGGGATGCACGCATCCTACTGACTCCTTCCCGTAGTGTGGCACTGCCCCTCCCATCGAGAGCCGTGCCCTGAATCCACGTGACCATTACAAATACACAAGGAGCCGTGATAATGGGGCCTCGTGTTTCCAGAGGGTTTATACATGTGTATGCGCTTTCAAATCTGTGGGTTTCCTCATGCTGACAACAATCCCAGGGACGAGTCGGCTCTTCTTCACCCCTCGTGACAGAAGCGACACTGCGGGACTTCGCAGAGAGTGGAGGGAGGTTGTGAAAACTCCCGACCCCTTAGTCCGGGGCGTCTCTCTCTGGGCCACCCCGGTGCTGTTCTCTCACAAAGCATTACTGACTCTGATTTCTATCAGCAGATGTCACTTAATTTCCTCAGCTCTCTCCTTCCCTTGTGTGGGTGAGCGTCACCATTCCTTCCTCTCAGTCTTCAGGGAGCACATTTTCGAGGGACGAACACGTCACACCTAAGTAAATAACTGCCTTCCCCTGCCCAGGCTGGTTCTGAGTCACCCAGGAAAGCACCATGTGCCTTTTTCTCTCTGCAGAACTGTGATCTCGTTGCAGTTTCTGCCGACTTGGTCAGCGGTGGCCTGACCCACACTCTGAGACTGGTCCGTAAAGGGCAAGGCCCACACCCTGAGACTGGTCCGTAAAGGGCAAGGTCCACAGGAAGCTTGGTGGCCACTGCGAGTCCTTTGTGACAAACACACAAATAACCAAAATCCGTTGCAAATGCAGTGACTGGCTTCGAGGCTGGGGTGGGGGCAGTACCTGTGTGCTATCACTTCCCCCCACCATTTATCAACTGGACCCACATCTTACAATCCTTTTAGGCCCGGCTGCTTCCTCGCCCCCTTATCTCTAGTCTGTTGATATTTGGAAACAAAAACAAATAGCCATGGGAATCCACCAAAGCCTAGAATTGAATGAAGCCCAGTTGGAGTTAAGGGAGGCCATTGCTTATGATTTGGGGAAACAACTGAGATGCAAATATTTTGGAGACATTTTACTAATGGAAACCAATGTTCTCTGTCTGCTCCTCTCCTGGCAAACGACTTGACCCAGTAGTTTTTAACATAAAAAACAAATCACCTTACCCTTCTGTGAGAGCCCGAGCTTTCTCCAAGTCTTGAATTACATTCAGAAGGACTTTAATTTTCTCTTGGTTCGAGTGCAGGGACTCTTCCACGGACTGCAGCCGGCCTTGGAGGTCGCAGAGCTCGCCCCGGGCCAGGTGGATCTGGTTAAGCTCCCTGTTGCTCTGAAGTTTGGTCTCCCTCCTTGGATGAGAGGACGGGAGGTGATCGTTTCCTGGACAGTTTCGAAACTCCAGGGTGTCCGACTGGGTGGGGTTCCTTGCGGTCCGCTCCTGACACGCAGCGGCAGGTCTGGATGGGTGGTTAGGTTTGAGTGGCGGCGGGTCCTGGTGATGGCTGCTCGATGACGAACAGTCCGAAGCCCCTCCTGGATGGGCTGGCTGTCCGTGGGAGCCTAGCGAGGGGGAGCCGTGAGTCCGTGGAGGCGAGGGGACACACGCTTCCTTTAACAGCGATGACAGTGGGCCAAAGTCTGTGTCACCAGAGTTGTCTTTGGGCAAAAGCAATTCAGGTTTAAGTTTCCCTGTGCCTGGCATGGGGTTGGCACCGCTGGTGGTGTTCAAGCAGGAAGGGGGTCTCTCTGAATCTGACGGCAGCATTCTTCGTCCATCACCGGGACACGGGTCCACCAATGGGTGGACGGAGTTGCTTATCTCCGCGGACCTGTCCTGGCTGAGAGCGGGCTCCCCAGTCGCCCAGGCCGGGCTGTGATAGATATCCTCTGGGACCTGAATGGCAGCGGTTGCTCTCTCCAAGGCTCTCCCAGCTCCTGCTTCCAGACATATGCTCACCGGCCCGTTGCTGTGCACCTTGGACATTCGAGGGAGAAACGGGTGGGACACCTGGACCCTTCGAGGCCCGTCCTCCAGATGCTGAGCCAGCCGCAAGCAGGCGAGGTCGGAAGCCACCGCGTCCTGTTCCGAGAGGTTGCCGTTGACCTGGATGGCACTTTGGAATGCTGCTGGCATTTCCACCAGGGACTTACTGGCTGTGAGTCTCTTCCTCTTGAAGATCGGGAAATGCTTCCTGAGACTGGGGGAGGTTTGGATTGCCATGTTCCGAAAGCCCCCTGCCTTCTGGGACCTGGGGAAGGAGAGGGAGTAGGCGGGAAGGGGGTGGTGTCTGGGGGCTTGGGTCTTGCCCATCACAGCCGGGTCCTCGGTTGTGTGGACGTCGACCCCAGCCAGGCCAGGCGGGGGCTTGCCGGTCCCATCTTCCTTGAACCGCACCTGCTGAGACTTGCTGCGGCGGTGGTGCGGCTGCTTCGCCAAAGCCACTGACTCCAGGCTGTTCCGCTTCAGAAGCACCGGGCGCATTTTTATATTTTGCTGGGCCATTGAGCCTCAGTTGGCAGGATTGGGACCATACACGTGTCCTGGGCACATGTCCTTAGGTCTTGGGAGCAGCCTCCAGTGCTGGCATCTCAGACACAGACATCTGCCAGCCGAGATGGAGCGGCCCTTTCCTCGGTGCCGAGGAGGCCGTGTGGGCCATCCCCAGCCGGTGGCTTCCGCTTGGGAGCTATCCGCAATGCTTCTCCTGCAGTTACAATATTATTTCATTGCGGTGATAATTGCCACTTAGATAAACAATGAGTTAGGCTAATTATTAAACATCCGATCTACCAAGAGAGCTGGTGGGCTGTTTATCAAAGAGAGGCTGGCAGGCGGCTCCGATCCTGGAAAAAGCTTGCCGCCTTGAACAAAAAGACAACAAAAGTACCATTTAGGGGATAGCGCCAGACTCCCGATGTGTGAATTCCAAAGGAGACCTGCTATGTCTGGAACAGGCGGCTTCCCTTCCCGGAGCATCAGTTTCCAGTGTAAAACTATGGGGCACTTACACACATCTTCTGGCCAGGGCATGTAAGCAGATGGCGAAATCAGAGGCCTGGGGGTCAGCTTCTTTGATGACCCATGATGCTCCTAAAGGAGCCGCCCCGTTTCTGTCAATCACAGATCCCACCCTCAGAGCCATTGTGTCCTTTCATACTCTGCCCCTTTCCTGCAGCCTGGGACACATATCTTCCTAAACAGCCTCACAAAACCCGGTGGGGTGTGACCAGGACAGGTGTGAGGCATCTGAAGCCATGCAGAGCGCAGAGTCCCTGTCGTGGTTCACACGCGGCTCAAGTTCATAGGTGGGCAAGTGATCCGTGGCTGTAGCCTCTGGGAGTCGCAGCTGAGAAAGGCTGGCCCTTGGCCCTGGGGACTGGGGGTCTGAGGCTTGGCTGTCGTTGCCAGCGGGCAAGGAGAGTCTGAAAGGGAAGAGACAACAACTGAAAATGCAGTTCCTGAGGACCTGGGATTCTCTCCAAATTCCATCCACCCAGCGGGTGCTGCTGAGTGGAGGGTCTAGGAGCAAGTCAGTCACGCTGTCCTTCCTTCTGTTCCCCTGTCACCTTGTGGCTACAGGGTCTCGGCACTAAATGCCCATCTGCCCGGGTCATTTCCTCCTTCACTCCTGGGCATCACTAGCCAACTCCTATTCATCCCTGAAGTCCCAGCTTAAATGTTACTTCCTCGGGGAGCCTTCCCAATGACTCCTCCCTTATGTACACCTCCAGTGCTAGACCATTACACCTTCCCATCACATACTTCATAACAGCTATTGCAGCTGTCCTTAAATAATCATTTGTGTGTAATCATTTGATGTGCGTATTCATTTGATGTGCTGCTCCCCTGTAAGCTCCAGGATGGCAGGGCCAGAGCCCTCTTGGGTATTCCCAGCCCCCCTTGGGCTCATTGTGGGTGCTTCATGGGCATGTGTTCATAGAGTAGATGGCTGGATGAAGTTGCTTTGGAAGCAAAGGAGAACCCGGGCACCGGGGTGCTAGGATCCCCTGCCAGGGCAACGGGACAGTGAGCTCTCTCTGCTATGACTATAGCATTTACTTGGGGACAAGATCTTCCCTAATGTCTTCATTTTTTAAATTGCTTTCCAGGAGATAAATGTGCATAAAATTCTCTTTGGGAAGTGTGCCTTGTAACAATATCAGTTGCCATTTATTGAACACTTATTTTTACTGTGCTGAGGGCTTTCCATGCATTAATCATAACAACTCATTTACTGAGAACTCACTAATGTGCCTGGTGCTGCTCTAAGCTGGAACTCATTCATTCCCTACCCTGTAGAGGTGGAAACTATCATTATCTGACATCATCCCCCTTTTACAGTTGGAGAAACTGAGGCCCAGAAAGGTTAAGTAACTTGCTCAAGGACATGTAGCTAGTGGTAGAGTCAAGATCTGAACTTGTACAGTCTGGTACCCCAGTCTGGGCTCTTAACCTCTACACTTCATTGCCTTTTCATTATTGCATTATCTCACTTAATCCTTACAACAAAACCTTTCAGGTGTCAGGATTCTTATTGGACTGATGGGGAAACTGAGGCTCAGAGAGAGTAAGTACTCAGTGGAGGAACTGAAATATGAACCCAGGCATCTGTGATTCCAAAGCTTGGGTTCTTAGCCATGAGGTTATGACTTTGTCCCCTTGGGATCTGCCCTGAGTGCAGACAGATGATATCAGTGATTTGAGAAATGAGGTGGAAGGCCCCTGCAGGCCTAGAGAAATGCAAAGGACCATCCTCTACATGGCAAAGTGAACCTACTCACTACAAGTTCAAGGGATCACACTGGGGTCAGACAAGTTGGAAGCATGCCTGGGTTGACCAAAGGTTTTTAAAGGAAAATGAATGTCATAAAATAGCGCACATTCTGTCTATGGTTCTCAGCCTTAGAGTCTTCTTCTTTCTCCAGGGATTACTAGGTAATGACCAGGGCAATTTCAGCTTTCCCTGCTCCCGGGTCCCTTGAGAAGGACCAACTAACCCAGCGAGGTGGGGCAGTGAGTGGCCAGGCCTGAAAGAGGACAGGATCCATCTATAATGCAAATGACTTGTCAGCTTGTCATGAGGCCCTGCTACTCCTCTTGTGCTGCAGAGCCTAGATATTTATTTGTCTACTTTTATGGATTTATTTAGGTAATTGTCCTCCACCTTTTCCCTCTCCCTATCTGTTCATTAGTGTTTTATTCTGGTAAAGTTAACTCACTTTGACTATAGTGGTCTGAAGCTGGTTTTCATAAGCTAATGTTTAGTGAACATTGGTTATGTGCTGGGCAATGTGATAGCTGTTTTTCATTCACTTTCTTCTTTAATCCTTGTGACAACCATAGAGCCAGGTACTATCAGCATCTCTTTTTATAAATCAGGAAACTGAGGCACAGGAGGTTAAGTAATTTGCCCCAAGTCATTCACCTGGTAAGTGCCAGAGCTGACATTTGAACTCGAGGAATGACCCTGTGCCCAGGCTCCTGACCACTGCACTTCCTTCTGCCTCCTCCAGGACTGGAAAGGGACTTCTGGTGCAAAGCTGTCAGGCAGGTTTCAAAGTCCCTCCCCACTTCCCTTCTGAAAGTCAGCCATTATTCTGGTTTTAGCCCTGCTTTTTCTCCAGGAATTTATGTATCCTTGAGATGTTTTCTTTTGAGCTTCAAAAACAGTTGGTTTTCTATTTTTAAAGATATTACATGTGCATTGCAAACATTCAAATAATGAAGATTAACAAAAAAGGAAGAAAAAAAATCATCTGAAATCTCGCCATCCATAAAGAGCCACTCTGTATGCATACGATTCAGGTCACCAGACCCACATTCACGCACATTGCACACCCATGCAGGCTCACGGGAAGCCTTTAAAAAAACTGAACAGCATGGAGAACATTTTATATTATGGCTAATAGATTCACACCCTCCTTTTAAGTAGGCGAACCAGACTCTGTTGTCTAGTTATACCATGATTTTTTTAAATGCTATCCTTTTGTGGATATTAGGTTGTTTCCAGATATTTGGTATTACGAATAATCCTGTAAGTAACTTTTTTTTTTTGGTGAACCTTGGAGTAAATTCCTAGAAGAAGAATTAGTGGGTTAAAGTACCCATACACTTTACACTTTGTTGATATTATTGCTTTTCCTTCCGGAAAGTTGTGTAACCCCACTATTACTGCATGAGACGCCTCTTTACCAGAGCCTCTTTGTCACTGTGTTTGGTCATTTTCTGACGACTTTTTTCATCATTGCCAATAAAATGGGAGAACAACTTCTTATTATGCAATTTATTTAAAATTTGGCATTTTTCTATATATGTATTGGTTTTACACTACCTTTGGTACACGTAAAGAATTAGAAGTTAAACGTGATCATTTGAACAATTAAGCGAATATGGAAACTCTTGTGTCTTAGACATAACCTAGGAAGTATAGTAAATATAATATAACAATTTTCACTTAAAAAGTTTAATATTTATATTTCAATTCTTCTGCCCCACTGCCCACCAAGACCTTTGCACAGACGTGTTCTGGGGAGTACACCTGGCTAAAGGGAATAGCCTTTTATAGGCCTCAGGTCTCACAGGCTCCCAGCTCACCACTAATTGATAGGGGGTTCCCTGGGCCTTGGTGGTTAGGGCTTAATTAACATCCTGGCCAGAGTCCAGAATCGCTCCCCGGAGGTGGTTGTGGCAGCCCGTTGAACACCGTGGCTGGGAGTTATTGCTGATCTTTTTATTGTTATTGCTGTGACATTTTATTCTCTCCTCTCTTGATTGTTGACTTATTGAACACCAGCGACTGTTTATGTTCCAACCATGAACTATGCGTGGTCCACATTGGATGGTTCTCATGAAATCATGCCCATTTGGTAGCTACCAAAACATTTAGCACTATCTCTGTAGGGCATAAACTTTGGACTTTCTCTGGAATAGACTCCCAGCTCTCTGCTGTGGCTTTTCGGCTCTACAGTGAAAGATTGAGTGCATAGGTGTTAGCCTATGTTTGACTTGACTAGCATCTTCCACTTCCTGACTGTTGGCCTGGAACAAGTGCCATGGCCTTTGTAAAACCACATAGAGTTGTTGTGAGAATTAAATCAGGTCATCTACATAACATGGCCGGCATGGTCCATGTCAGCTCGTCAGCTAGAACCCAACGGGGACCATGAGGTACTCATGAGAGTATCTGCTCCTTGCACTTGCCCTCTGGAGAGTAAACTAAGGTACATTTTCAGGATGCAGTGTGCCAGGATGGCATTCCCAGGAATCCTGCCCTTCTCCCTGCCTGTCCATACTTCATGTACCACATTGACATTGCACTTACCTCCCCGAACAGTGATTATCTGCTGACCTTCAGCCTCCTCAACTAGACTGCAAGCTCCTGAGGGCAGACACCGGTCACAGTCCACTCTGAACCCCTGGCCCTTACCCCCATCTTGATACAGAGCCCGTGTTAAGTGAACTCTTGTCAAAGGAATGAATATAATCCCCTATTACCTGTTTGC